CCCGCGCGGTCAGGGGGCGGGGCCCAGAGGAGCTGGGCGGAGCCCTAGGAACCCAGGCCTGGGAGCCGGGTCTTTAGAGACCTGGTGTGGTCCAAGGGGACGCTGCTCGTGTGGGGCGGGTTTTGGACTGGGCTTCCTTGGGAATAGGAGCAGGGAGAGTTTGGGCGAAGTTCCGAGGGTTAGGATGTGAGCGGCACACGCGAGAGGTTAGGGCCTTCTGTGTGCCCACGCGTGCACGCAGGTGTGCTAGTGCGGACTTGCGCGGTGGCAGCCATCCACTTCTTGAACACACGGGGGCGAGAGATACCTGGGCAAGGAGAGTCTTTTTGGTTTTCTTTGCCGCTTCCACGCACAGGTTCCAGCAGGAGGTCTTGGGGAAATGGAAGCGTGAACTCCAACACTCGCACCCGTACAGTGGTGACGTCATGGCTTTCCGTCCCCAAGGCAACCGGCCGCTGATTCTGGAGCGGTGGTGACTTAAGAGCGGGCGCGGACTAACCAGGAAGAATGGACGAGTTCCTCCAGCCAAGCGCAGGGTGAAAGTTTTTGGGGAGTTGCGTCCTCTGGTGGATGCTTGGGGAGACGGAACTGGGGCAGAAGAGAAAGAGAATTGCCAGGGCGGCACAGGTGACTCAGTGAGTAGAGCGCCGGACCAAACTGCAACAAAAAATAGCCGGGCGTTGTGGCGGGCGCCTGTAGTCCCAGCTACTCAGGGGGCCGAGGCAAGAGAATCGCCTAAGCCCAAGAGCTGAAAGTTGCTGTGAGCTGTGTGACACCACAGCACTCTACCGAGGGCGACAAAGTCAGACTCTGTCTCTAAAAAAATTAATTGGCTCGGCGCCTGTGGCTCAAGTGGCTAAGGCGCCAGCCACATACACCTAAGGTGGCGGGTTCGAATCCAGCCCGGGCCTGCTAAAACAACAATGATGGCTGCAACCAAAAAAAAAAAAAAAAATAGCCGGGCATTGTGGCAGGTGCCTGTGGTCCCAGCTACTTGGGAGGCTGAGGCAGGAGACTCGCGTGAGCCCAGGAGTTGGAGGTTATTGTGAGCTGTGATGCCATGGCACTCTACCCAGGGGGGTAGCTTGAGGCGCTGTCTCCAAAAAAAATAAATAATAAATAAATTGATTAATTAATTTAAAAGTATATATAGACTTGCCAGAGTGACAGTCCTACTGGAGTCAGAGCCAAATCCAAAAGTCACCGCACGATTGATTCCTAATCTAACAATAATAAAATCACTATTTTACACTGGCATGTCATCTTTTACTATTTATTTATTTACTTTGAGACAGCATCTCAGTCTGTCGCCCCAGGTAGAGTGCTCTGGCCCCATAGTTCACAGCAACCCCAAACTC